ATAGGGAATCAGGATGCAGACCGCTCTGGCTTCTTCCATGCTGAACAGGGGCATAGGGTGAGGCAATTGGTGTACCCCTTCAGTGGGTCTATCTAAAAGACTCCCAAATTGCATAACTTTTATCTGTAAGGAGAAAAGAAAGTCCTTGACTGGTGCCTAGGAGATATGAAGGAGACGTAAAGGCAAGAGTAATTCGCATTACAAATTCTAGACAGGGAACCAGAAAAAAGTCAGAACAGGGCAAATTTCAAATGTTCATATGAGAGTCCATTGGGATTTCTTGATGGGAGCTTCCAAGAGCATCCCTTCATTGGGTTCCTCCCCATTTTTTTTTTTTTTTGTCTGCCAAGGCTGGACTCGAGAGTGATGGAATCAGGATTTTCTTTCAGGTACTTTGATAGCTATTGGAGTGGCTAGAATCAGTGTCAGTTCCCTCTCAAAGACTTCTAGATAGGGGGAGAAAACAAATTTAGCCATCGTTTTAGAACAATAGCTGGTTGCTTCCCTTAGCTACAGGTGGGCACTACAGTGTTGGAGACCAAGATTTGAAATCTTACGTCTGAGCAGCACTTTGTGATTAGAAGCAAAATCATCAATGAGAAATAATTGTCTAGATAACATTTTATATGGACTTAAGTCTAACATCTGGGAAGTGTAATCCCTTGAGCTCTTAAAGAAATATACTGGTCACTTTAATCTTTAGTTATACTTTCCTTTTTGGTGTTTAAGACCATACAGTTAGCCCAAATAAAACAATTTATTTTTACTCTTAAGGTCATTTGAGGATCTATCTGTTCCTCAGGGGTCACATGGGCTTGGGAGGAGCCCATGGCTCCTTCCTTTTACCAGTTCCATCTATGTGAAGACCAGTCAAAGGTCCTGCTTGACTGTGGCTGACTTCATTTGGAAATGTGGAAGAAATGTTTCCTTTGTGTTGACCCTCCTCTTTGTAGCCTGGATGCTGGTTCAAGTCCATTTTGGTGGGGTCTCCTTGGCCTCCTTGATCAAGAGGACTGGTGACCCACCACAATTACAGGACATTTTGAGAGATGCTCAGTCCCCCTGGAACTAGTCGACCTAGGAGGGCAAGGAGCAAAAACTGTCCTTTATGTCCCTCTGACCAGATTAGTACAGGCCTCAAAGTATGGCTGTTAAATATCCAAGAAGTTTAGTTCCATCAGTCTGGTACTTTTAATTATCATGTGCTATGTAGATAAAGCTGGGGCAAAAACCAAAAGGCCTCAGATAAACCTTGACTAGACATATATTTTGTTCCTTAAACTAGTTGACTAAAGTATGACCTCAGAAATTTTAAGATTGTGTGTATATTATTTTTGTCTCATCCTTCATATATCATAACAAACCTACTCAGACCTTCATCACTTGCTTAGGCTTTCTTGTTTTTTTTCTGTTTTGGAAAATATCTCCAGTCCTATATCCTTTTAACATCTTTTACATTCTCCCTTTTCTTTTTTTTTTTTAAAATAAGTTTTATTTATTATTTTTATTTTATGTGTATGAGTGTATTGCTTGCATGTAGGTAGGTGAACCAGTGTTATGCGGTGCCCATGGAAGTCAGAAGAAGGTGTCAGATTCCCTGGAACTGGAGTTACAGATGGTTGTTAGCCCCCATGTGGGTGCTAGGAATTGAACCCAGGTCCTCTGCAACAGCAATCAGTGCTCTTAACCACTGAGCCATCTTTCTAGCCCCATTAATTATGAGACATAATAACATTAACAAATTTTCCATCTGTTGTGAGAATTCTTTTCCTGGGGATACTAAGCAATGTTTATCCCTTTCTGAGGTTCTAGTGTCAAACCAATGTTTGATTACAGTTTTCTTGGGGAACCAATGAATTTACTGAGCTTACTTACAGAGATGACTGAGGGGTTGCTGAGGTGTATGAGTGACCTGGGAGTATGCACACTGGGAAGCCTTTATTCCCTGATGGCCTTTCTTAAGTTGTCATTTTTACCTTGCACTGAAATGTGTCACAAAAATATGGTAAGGTAATTTCTAAAGAAGTGGAATTTGCATACCAACAGTTTCTCAGGAAAACAAAATAAAGTACTAAAAATACGTGTATTTTTTGAGATAGGCTCTCTTTATGTAGCCTAGGTTAGTCTCAGTCTCATGATCCTCCTGCTGAAACCACCCGAGTATTGTGATTTACAAGTGTATACTACCATGGTCAGCCTCAGTTCTAACACAGAACAAGAAGACCAAATTAGATGCATAAAGAAGAGACTTTCTTTGATTACTATTAGGATGGCACCATGGGTTGATAGGTCTGGGTTGTAGCTGGTTAGGAAGAGGCTGCTGTAAGCAATAAGAGTGCTTAAAAAGAGGCACAACAGTCCAGACTCTTTCTTTAAGGTAGTGGTTCACAGTTCCTTTGGCACAGAGAATCATGATGATCAGGACCCACTTCAGACTAAGTACATACTAAAAAAATGCAAGTGGGGCCTTGATATTTATATTAAAAACAATTCTTTAGGTGATTCCAATGAATACGTTAGGATCTTAACAGCTAGGTGAGACTCTAAGCTATATACAGTAATTACTATAGACATGTAAGACTATAATTAGCTCTGTGATGAGTGAGGGAGATTATGGGCACAAGAATTAGAAGAGTGTCATTGATTTGAATCATGAGGCAGGGCTACATCAAGGAAGTGAGTTCTGAGTTGGAGTTTTCTTAGGTGGACAGTGGGGAGTGGGAAGTGTCCTGTAGCCAGGGAATGAATGGTGGAGAGGTATCCCTGCACATTCAGGGGTCTCTTGTGAGCAGCATGGAAGAGTGGAAGTAGATGTTGGTTTTCAGGTTGCAGTCAGATTCTGAAGTCTCTGGGGTTAGACTATATTTTAGCTTTATCTGCAGGTGTTGGGGGGACATTGAGGATTTCTAATGAGTGAAATGGCTTGCTAAAACTTTGAAGACTGTGTCACTGGGAAGGAGTATGTAGTTAACACTAAAAGAAGGCAAAGTGTTAACAAAGGAAGACCAGTTGGGAAAGTGCTGGCATGGTCCAGATGTGAGGTCAGAATCCTCTGAGCTAAGGGAATGGCAGTGGAGTTAAAGGTAACAATAATAGATATTTGTGTAGCATTTTAATAATAGGTTTATTTTCACATCTCATTTAGACCTCACACTAACCTTGTGATAGTCCCCTCCATACTTTGTAAAGGATGGAACAGATATTCAGAGGTTGAACTACTGTAGAGTAACCTCATAAAAAACTGAGAAGCCTGACTGGTGGACAACCATCCGTGAAGAGGGAGTAGTTCCACGTGTGCACTAAGGTTACTGGGTTGGAAGGAACCATGGTGGAATTTCTCAGTACCTAACTTAGTGTCCAGTAGTTGGATGCACTTCCAAGTAGCTGCCAGATGTTCTTCATGAGACTCCTCTTGCCTCTGTGGGTTGATATGCAGCTACTCCCTGAAAGGTCCTGAGGAAAGGGAAGGAAAGCCGCCCTTGAGTCACCTGCCTCAGAGAAGAATCCACAGGCCTTTTCTGAGTATCCTTGGGTCCTCAAATGGTTGAGAATTAGGTTTTGTTAAATTTTACATTTATTTGTTTATTTGTGTGTGTGTGTGTGTGTGTGTGTGTGTGTGTGCGCGCGCGCGTGTGCGTGCATGCATGTGCACACCACAGTGCATGTGTAGAGGTCAAAGGATAAGTTTTGGGAGTTGTTTTCCTTCTTTTACCACGTGTGTACTTGGGATGGGACATAGGTTATCAGGCTTGGTGGCAGGTGCCTTTACTTTCCGAACCATCTTGCTGGCCTTTGGTTGAATTTTCAAAAGGCTTCCGATACAGGGCTGTACCCAGGTGGCTGTGCCCTGAGGAACGTTAACTGTGACCGAATGGGCTTCCTTTTTCTTGTGATCTGGACAGAGTAATGTGGGCATCAGAATATACCCCTGTAGCAGTGGGTGCAGGGTAATGTGGGCATCAGAGTTTACCCCTGTAGCAGTGGGTGCAGGGTAATGTGGGCATCAGAGTTTACCCCTGTAGCAGTGGGTGCAGGGTAATGTGGGCATCAGAGTTTACCCCTGTAGCAGTGGGTACAGGGTAATGTAGGCATCAGAGTATACCCCTGTAGCAATGGGTTCCTTTTGGTACCACTAGGGTACTGGATCAAGATGATATTCTTACTGAGCTAGAATGTGAGTTATATCCACCAGCATGGCCATTTATTGTCTACCATGGTCAGGTGTGGTGTTGCATGCCTTTAATTCTAGCCCTTGGGAGGCAGAGGCAGACAGATCTCTGTGGCGTTCAAGGCCAGGTTGGTCTACATAGTGAGACCGGTCTCAAAAAAAAACAGGTGTATTATGTTGTGTGGTCATTTATTTTGTATATCAAGATCTTGAGCAATTCAAATATCAGCGTAAACCAGCAACACAGGCAATGGAATGTATTGTCATCTGAGATATTTGTTCCCTATAGTCAGATAGCAGAAGAATGTTCTAGAGGGCTGAGGGAGTCTATGAGAGACAAAGGGATGCATCATCATCTTGGGAAACCTTGATTAGATTTTCCCAGGAAATGATGGTGTAGTATTGAGCTGAGGTAGGAGACAGTGAGCTTTTTGCCTTGGACATTCTCAACCTGGGCACGCAGAGTTACACACATGGGCTCTAGCTGGCATAAGAGTAAAGCCTGTATTTGTATTGTGAAATGGTAACATCCTTAGAAAATTAAACTCCTGTTTTCACTGTTTATTTTCTTACTTTAGAATCCTGGGGTCGTCAATGGCAGGAGGAGGAGTGATCAGAAGACCGAGATGAATTTTAACACTATCCTAGAAGAGATTCTTATTAAAAGATCACAGCAGAAAAAGAAGACATCACCCTTGAACTACAAAGAAAGACTTTTTGTACTTACAAAATCCATGTTAACCTACTATGAGGGCCGAGCAGAGGTAGGAGACAATCATAATTTACTTTGCTGCTTTCAGTGTTGATCCTGTTTTAGTAAATTGACCTGTTCCCTGGAGTTAATGAACTTAAGGTTAGGATTTATTATCATTTGGACTTGAAAGGTGAAATTTAGCATGTGATGGAAATCACATACAAGTCTGTCAGTATATTTTAGGATATGTAGATCTGCATCAGCCTACTGAACCAATCTGCCAGGCAAAATACATTCCTGTGTATCCTTATGGAATTTTATTAGGTATATTAGGAGCATGGCTCTTTCCCACAAACCACCATATTGTTTATCAAAGTCTTCTTTGTGTGAACATTTCTTCATTATTAAGTAGAACTTACTTGGAACTCATCAGTGACTTGGTGAACCCGTTATTGAAGTTGACCTTCAGTGGTATTTTTCAATTCTTGATGCTAAGCATCCAAGCATCTACTACAGCGGTTCCTTGATGGGAGTGGGTGGGGTGGAGCTCAGGAAGACTAAATCCTCCTGGCCAGTGAGCACCAGCTACAGGGATGGTGGAATGGCGGTAAGGAGGAACTCTGGTCAGCCAGCTCCTGCCTTTTGGCAAGGAATATGAGTGGCAACCTCTGATCCACTTTTCTGATCCTTCCATGGCGGACGTGGCATTTTCTAGTACTGCCATGGTCTTCTCCGCCTGAAGTAATTTTGGGTTCTAGAGAATGGCTGGGCACTGGATTTCCCTTGGTTGACCACATACTATAGTCAACTTGGATACAGTGAGTTCTTAGTGGTCCTGATATTTGGACTTAATTTTGCTTATTGTTTCCACCCTGGGGCCCTTTTCTCAGGTGTGATTCACTTTGTTTTTCTTTTGGTTTGTTTCTATTTTATTCCCACTGACTTCTCTGCTTTGGCTCCCAGGTTTAGACAGAATGGCCACGCTTCTCCAAGTAATCTCGGCTCTGCTGATTCCTGCAGTGGCTTATCATTGTGATCTGCTATCCTTCAGGTTCACACACCTTAGGGCCATAGTACCTTAGCTCTAAATCTCCTAAATGTTAAAAACCAAAACTTCAAAAACTCTTCCGTGTAAAACCAGAGCCAAGGCAAGACCATTCCCTCTTTATCCTATTCAGTATGAATATATATTTGTGTGCCCATTGGTGTGGCTAATCTTGTGGGGCTACCTCAGTCCCTGCTGGGAATGCTCTGAAGATACGGTATACTTGCTGTATTTTCCTTGTTACCTGAAAAATCCAGAAGTCCAGAATGGTTTTAGATAAGAATTGTTACCAGAAATAAGGATTATTTTAAAATCTAAAGCAGATTTTGAGGGGAACTTCAGTGTTTGCTATATGGCATTGATTTGCTGTAGCTTGACTTTAATATACTAAGTCCATGAAAGAATAGAAATACAGTGTTGGAAATGGTAGAAGTGGGACCTTACTAACCCAAATCCTTCAGAAACTTTACATTGCCATCTTAGAACTATGGACCAATACTATTAAGATACATCACAAGGGTCCTCCACTTTGAAGATGGTTAATATACAGTTGTTCCTTGGTGTCTGTGAGGGAACTGGTCTCTCTCACCACCACCTCCATAGGCTCAAATATGTTATGTAAAGTAGTGTAGCATTTGCACATAATCTGTGCACACCCTCTTGTATATTTTAAATTATTGATTATAATATCCAATATAATATAGGTGCTATATAAATACTCTGTATTGCTTAGGGAATAATGACACGAGGAAAGTCTTTGCATGTCTGTGCAGTACAGATACAGTATTTTCCCCCCAAATCTTTTCCATCTGGGATTGGTTGATTCTATGGTTACAGAACCTGTAGGGATGGAAGGCCAGCTGTGCAAAGTTAAAAGGGCCCGGATTGTTTCAGCTTAAGCAGAATGAGATAATCAGTGGAATCCTTCTTTAGATCCCTGCCTACTGTGAGTGTGGAGTAGCCTCAGCCACTGGGAGATCTGGAAAGGACTGAATGAAGTGGTTGTCCAGCATGTAGAAATCCTGCTTTGGAACTTTTACTAGGATTCAATTTCCTTCCTGGCTGTCCTGAGTGGCCCTGTGATCCTGGCCATTAGCCTGATTGCTTCCCCACCCCCCAACTCCTCTAAAGGCCTTTTGATCTCTCAGGCTTTCTGCTTTCATGGCCTCGCATTCATTAGAGATAGTGCTTGAAATGGTCACAAACTTGTTGCCTCTCACAGTGGAGTAAGCGGCTGCCAATGGTGGGGTGTAGCTTGGTGGTAGAGTATATGCTTAGTGTGTGTGTACAGACCATTGGTTGAATCCCCAGTACCTAAATGAAGAAATAGTTCCTTATATTAAATCATTGGGAATGTTAAGATAAGAATCAGAATTCTCAAAATAACAATACTTCTAACAATACTGGACTGATTTCCCACTGATAACTCTCAGTCTTTTTCTAGAAAAGCCCAGAAACACCTCACTGTGGCGTTTCTTCCCTGTTTGGGTGGGTGTGTTCAGTTCCTGTTTGCCATGGATGCATCTTGTGCTTTTCAGCTCACTAGTCTTAGAAGTCATGATTCAAAGAGCATTGTGAGGTGGAAAGCTCGTAAGAGCCAACAGGTGCATTGAAAACAGTATGTGTTAAGAATGTAATGTTTTAGAATTAGGCTACCCAAGCCATGGAGCCCATATGAGTTTCCAATAAGTAGTTCTATCAATATTTAAATTGTCTGTAGTTCAGTCTTCAAAAGCAAACTAGTGAGGAGGCTGTTGATCTAGTAGCTGTGATTCCTAATTCCTTCATGGCCATCCAGTGCTCACTAATACTTTGTTAGAACTCTGAGTTAATCGTGATGGTCAGGGTCATAGGTCCTGTCTTTATTCTCCATACCCAGCTCCTTCAACATGGTGGCCAGAGCCTTATTGGAATTCTAGCTGCTAAATTCAATTTTCTGTGCTTCTCAAAGCATACTGAGGAATTCTGTTTTGGCTAGATCATCAGAAATCCAATTAAGCAAGTTCCCAAAAGTCTGATATTACAAAACTGGTGTTTCAGTTTCTGCACTGGGCTGTTCTTCAGTTTGCTTTTCTTTCTCTTCTGGTAGAAAGAGAATTCATTCGTTCATGTTTGTACATGTGCTAATGAACTGAAGAAAAGACCTTCCTGACAGTTTATTTTGTTTGATCTTACTCATAATGACACAGACCATGGGGGTTTGGTAAGTGACCCTGCTTTCTAGTTGGGTGCTAAATGACACATGGGATAGAGTCACTTGACATTCCAGTGGAGGCTGCATGTGACACTGAGATGAGAGTCAGGGAGGCACAGGGCTGAAATTTGTTCAAGAAAAATAGTGACTGGAGAATGATGAGGAAGAATGCTGAGATGCTGAGTAAAGGAAATTTCAAGTAGTATGTGAATTTGTAACAGCTATTAGCTAAGAAATCAGATTGTAGATTGGACTGTGACACGCTTTGGTTGGCTTGCTGTCTATAATACTGTAGCACAGTATGGGTGCTGGAGAATAGTCTATTAAATCAAAAGAGTAGGTTGAGTAGTGTGCAGGGTCTCTTGTTCCACCCCCATGCCTACTGATTTACTGTGAGGACTCCCAACTCAGCATCTCCTCACACTCAGCTACGATTCATTACTGTGAAAGAATACAAAGCAAAACCAGCCAGGTGAACAGGCACTAGGGGCCAGTACAAGCATCCAAAGAGTCTTTCCCTGGTGGAATAATAAAGGATGTGCATGGTCTTCTCATATTTTATTGTGACAATTATAAAATGTTGACTGTGAGGGAAGCTTATTAGAGATTCAGTGCCCAAGGTGTTTGTTGGGGACTGGTCACAAAGGTACCCGCTGCCTAGTATATGCCAGAAGTACAGTTTCAGAAGGAAAGCAGGTGTTGAGTTTAAATGAAACTCTTGGTACAGTTGAGACACAGTGAGTCACTCTTACCAGTACTTGAAAAATCTAAGTTGCCAGATACCAGCAGGCCTTTCTTAACAGTCTCAGGATGCCGTGTTAGCTCCTTTCTACACTCTGGTTCTAAAACTGATACCAGCTTGTGGAATACTACATGCAGTCTATGGTGCTGCGTACTTTACATGCACATCTTATTAGATTTCATTTCAAAATGAGGAACCGAGGCATAGAAAGATAAAAAAATCTTGTGCAACATGTGTCATGCAAGAAGTTGCATACACTTGCAAGAAATTGCATGGTTGTTTCTTCAAAGCCTCTGTCTTTTAAACTACCTTGCTATTCCATGAAAAATTAGAGGCAGGGGATGCCATTACAGCACTCTGTAATAGAGATAAAGTTTTATTTTAAAACTTTTGAGAATATTTTATTATTTTCATTTGCAATTTTTTTGAATTTTCCTTGTAACCAAAAAAAGATTCACACTAAACATGTTTTTGTCCTGTATGACTCTAATTGGATGTACTAAAATAATATTCTTCAATTCACATATGGAGTTTAAAATTCCTTTCATATACATTATATCTTTTTATATGGTTAACTTCATTTTCATCACCATTTTAACTCCATCATACATGTGATATGTTACCAATTTCAGAGAAACTGAACCAATAGTTTACATAGGGATATTTATATATGTAACAGATACATATATATGTGTATGAATATGTGTATATACAAATATATATGCATATATATCAAGAAGAATTGGCTCACATAATTATGGAGGCTGACAAGCTCCATGATCTGTTGGCAAGCTGAAAACCTGGGAGAGCCAGTGATGCAGTTTAATTGAAGCCTGAAGGCCAGAACCTGGGGAGCCACTAACATGCATGGAGAGATGTCCCAGGGTAAGCAGTGAGGCAGGAGGAAGGGGCCATTCCTCTCTCTTCTGCTTTTGTTGTGTTTAGAATTGGATAATGGCCTCTCACATCGAGGAGGGCAGTGTACTTGCTGAGCCCACCAATTCAAATGGTGCTCTCATTTGGAAACATCCTCACAGACATGGTGAGAAACAGTGATTAGCCTGGGGACTCTGTAGCTCATTCAAGTTG